AGAGCATTTTGACGGTTGTGATGGTGCAATTTAATTCAATTTAATTTTTTTGAGCTCTAAAATAAATTTTTACTTTTGAAAACCGGCTTAACTAAGGTTTTTAATGCAAAAAAATATTTATAAAAATGGAAAAGCGTACCCTCTCCTTTTCGGCAAGTTTGGCGAGCGCTTGTTGCAGTTGTTCCATCATTCGCTGGCGGCTGTCGAGCTGGACTTGCAGTTGCATCTTCACCTTGTCCAGCTCCTTCAGCTTTTCCCGGTCATCCTGGCGGCGCATCCTGAAAACGGGGGAATCGTTTGACGGCTCCGTTTTTGGCAAAAAAAGGTGGTGACCGCGCGGAAAATTTGCCGGATTTAGGCGAGAAACGAGTTAGTTAAACCGCTGGAAATAAGTCGGACAAGACGCTTGTCCGGTTTACCAGCCCGTTTCCGGTCGAACTGCGCGCGGAATTTAGAATTCGATGCAGAGCCGCTTTTTTTGAAAATTTGCTTTCATCGATCGGATTTAACCGGAGATAAGCCGGATAAACCGGAATTCGACCGGAAAAACGGTTTCCGTTCTCGTTGCCACGATTTCCAAACAATTTTCGGTAAAATCGGGATTTTGCTGAATGTTGGGCGGCTTTCAGTGGAAAATTCGTTTAAAAAACTTCCCGATTCAGCTGGAAATGACCGATTTCGGACCGGAAACGAGCTGGATAAACCGAGATTCGATGCGGGACCGGATTGGATTCAACCCGAAATACACGAATTCCTCCCCGGAAGCCGGTTGGATTAACCGAAACGCGCTCGCAAACATAATCAGCGTCCCCCTAACGTTTTTGCCGGGGTTTTGGGCCTGCTTGCGGTGAAAATCCACGTCGAATCCAACGCGAAACGGACCTCAACGTCTCCATCTTCTCCTTGAGATCCTTGTTCTCGTAGCGCAGAATGTCGACCTCGGTGCCCTCGCTGATGCCGGGGGGAAGGGTGGGTGGCGGGGGGAGGCTTGGGCGCTTCTGAAAAAAGGATGTAAATAAAATTGCAAACGATTGCGATGACAAGCTGACAGAGCTGCATGCGCTACAGCCGAGATTTTGACAGATTCCCGCGCCTGAATTCTTACCAGAATCTCGAATTTTCAGATTCTCGAAATTTCGATCGTCCAAATCAGCATTACAGATACTGGAAATTGCACGCCTACGCGCTGAATCCAGCATAGGCAGATTTCGAGATTCTCAAAATTCGAGATTCTGATAGGAATTCCCGAGGCCCGGCCAACGGAAATACAGAACACGCAACGGGCACGCCACAAAATGTGTCCACTTTCGGCTTGCGGGGGCTTTTTATAGGGAGGTGTACCTCGTGCGGCGGCTCCTCGACGACAACTTGGCAATTCTGCGTTGTCGGCGCGGGCTCCTTCAAAAATGAAGGTTTTTCGGAGGGAATCACGGCAAAAAAAGTCACGTTTTTCAATAAAAATTCAGTGGCGCTCATTGCCACGGAAAACACGCTGCTCAGAATTTCGTGGTGCAATCCGCGACAATTTTGACCGTAGCGGTCCGATTTTTAGGATCTAGGTATCGATCGAAAGCTCTCGACGTGCTACGAGCTGCTCTATCCGCTTTTCCTAAATACCGAAACGTTGCTCGATTATCAGGCAAACGCCGCGAGTTTTCGCCAAAAACTCAATCTCATCGTGTTGGGCGCCATCCAAGATCTGTTTTGCACAAAAGTTTTTCCGAAAAAAAAACCCCGCGCCACGCTCAAAGAAATGCGGCAAAAACTCAGAAATTTTACGGCAAAAACATCAAAAATTCTGGTCTGATTCGCCGAAATATTAGTGAATCTCATCAAAGATGCGAAATTTTGCAAAACGAAGAGAGGCGGTATCTTCACAGCTCGTCGAGAGCTTTCGACTGACAGTTACAGCATAAAATTGGACATCAAGGCCTGTTTTTGCCTCAACAAAACTGATCATGATTTCGCGGTGCCAAGGGTGGGAACCAAAAAATTTGGCGGCCGCGTAAAAAAAAACAAAACAAAAAGTTTTGATAACGCCACAAGCTCAATACCTCCATAATCTTCTGGGCGCGCTCCTTGACGGACGGGGACGCGGGCGCCGCTTCGACCACATCGGCCGGCTTCTTGATGTCAATTGGTGCCGGGGTGACGGAGGAAGGTTGCTTCAGCCCTGATGGTGCCTCCTTCTTGGGGGGTGGAGCGGAAGTGGTGGGTTGTTGCGGTGGGGAGACCTTCAGCTGTTCCACTGACTCGGCCGGGCTGATCCCGGGCGTCGACTAAAACAAATTGGTTAGTTCGCATTATCGAGGAGGAAACACGATTCTTTTTTTTCGGGTAAGTCTAGAAATTCCTAGTAACATAATTGTAATTACTTTTAAAGCGTTTTTGGCAAAATTGAACCGTATTTTGGGCGGAAAACACTAAAAAAACTCCGAAATAATTTTGAGCTAATTTAGCCGAAAATCTACTTATTTGTATTTTTTTCAAACGAAATTTGTAGTTTTTACGCTTGGGAATAGCGAAAAAGAGCGTAGAACACAGTTATATTTCAAGCGGGGCAAACTACCTAAAAACGTCGAAGACGCTCAAAAAATTTGAAATTTTGTTCGAAAAATTGCTTTTCTTGACATTTTATAGTAAAAAAAATGCAATTTTACGTTTAGGAAAAGATGTTGGAAGATAAATAGCTTACAGCGGGCGTGGTGAGCTTGGAGGTAGGGGCGCGGAGCTTCGAGGCTTGACTGCGGGTCTGCGGGCGTGCCGGAGTCGTCGAGGTGGCAGGCTTCTCGAGGCGCAGCTAAACGGAGAAAATACTGACGCTTTCCGAGCTTAATTAGTGAATTAGAGCCAACTTTTTCCTTAAATTAGGATCCAATTCTTCAAATGTGAAGCGAGGAAGTGTTTCTAAACTTTTCTTACTATTCCTACGCGCGAAACATACAAAAATTTCGATTTTCTGACCAAAATGCCCGTTTTTACCACTTTTTGAAAGTTTTTGTAGTTGAAAAAAGCTTTATTACGCTAAAAACACGATTAAAATAGACCCTATCAAGTTACTAGCCATTTCTAGCAAAATTTGGTGTTACCCGCCCCCAAAAAATACCTTTTTGGTAGGAACGAAGAGGCCGTAGCCGGGCTCGCACTCGAAATACGCCACGTCCTGCACCGAGCCGTTGTTCTTGCCGCGCGGCTCGTCGAGGATCAGCCCGTTCCATTCACCTTCGGCGAACTGGGTGGTGCCGATGAAGGCGATCACGCCCTTTCCGTTGTTTTCTGCAAAAACAGTATTTTGATAATTTATATAGTTTTTAGCAGGTTCATTTACAATTTATATAACGTTTTATAACGACAAAAAGCGAGTTTTTCCCTACAAAATTTTAAATTTCGCTTATTTTTCAAACTTTTCGTTAATTTTCCACGTTAAAAATAGCTAAATTCACCAAAAACACTATTAAAATGCTCGCAATTACATTAATAGGCACATCCGGGTTTTTAGACCAGAAAAACGATACCTGTAATGACGCGGTCGCCGAGCTTGAACGACATCAAGCCAGGTGGGGTGGGTGGTGAGCGCCCGCGCTTCTCGGCGTTTACCTGAAAATACGCGAGTTACACTTTTATAAAGATCTAAAACAGAAAAAACGGAAACGGAAAACAGCGAGCAACGTGAAAACCAACAAGAATTACAAGAAAAACCACAGTTTTCGAGGAAATGCACCAAAAACGCTGAAAATCCCTGCAAAAACCCTCGTTTATCGACTTTAAAAAGTGTAGGTGAAGAAACGAGATATGAAAAAGGGAAAAATGAGCTGCCAAGGTTTTTTATAGCAATTTGAAACACTGTAAACAGTTTTAGAACCAAAAAACCAACGGGAATGAGTAGAAAAAGACAGAGAACTTGCTATAAACTTCAAATTTTAGCACAAAACTCAAAACATAGGATTTAAAAAGTTTAAAAAGAGCGGGCAACAATTGAGATCACAGCTTTTTAGACACCAAAAACAAAGGGAAGGCGAAAAAGAGCAAAGGATCGAGAAATAAACACAGAAATCTGGAAAATCATTCGTTTCCAATCTCGCGCAGCCAATCCACCGCCAATCGTCCATATTTCTCGCGTACAGCCGCATCCGTGTCGCGATCCATCCTGAATACATAGCAGTAGAAATGGAATTGATCGCCGAACTCCTCCACCTCGACGCCCCAATCCGACCTTCGCAACAGGGCCGGCACCCGGAAATGGGGTTGTGTGAACGAGATGGAGAGGAAGAGACCGGAAGAAGTCAGGACACGATTGATCGACGAGAACACGTCATCAACCATTTTCAGAGCCGAATCCGAGGGTGACCAGGGGCTCTTCTCCCCGACGAGTAGCGCCTCGATTGTCGCCTTTTCCAGCACAACATCGTAGCTTTTGGAGGGCAGTCGGCAGAGGCTCGTCATATCATCGCAAATCCATCTCATTTCCGGGTAGCCCTCGCCGTATCGAGCTTTCGATGAAGAGATGAGCACCTGGAAAAGAGACGTTAGGAACGTTTGCTGGGCTCCAAGTTTTTGTCTAGTCAAAATAGTAGCTTTTCCACAGCGTTTTTTGTATTCCGAAACGTAAAAATACTACATTTTCTTTATTCAACAATGTTTTTTTCAAGCAAAAGCACCGATTCTTGATCAAAATTCGAAGTTTCCGCATCATCATTTCTAGATAACTTCCCCTCTTTAAATAAAGCAAATTTTCCTCAAAAACACCATGAAATCATGAAAACACACCTCAGAAAAGTCGACATTCGTTATATCGTGAAATCCGGCGTCGTAGAGCCGCATCGAGAGCTGCGAGCTGCCGCAGCCAACGTGCAGGATGCGGGGGTTGGGCTTTAGCTGCTTCAGGCGCTGAAAAAGAGGGCATTTGCACGACCGGATTCTCGTTTCTATCGCCCCCCTCGCTGGAATTGCCGGTCAAAGTGGTTTTAATGCCAGGGAAATCGTTTTGGGTCGTTTTCGGTGCAAAAGAGGCGCAAAAACGACTTCCCTGAAAAGTTCGGCGTTCCCACAACGATTCTGATGAAAAGAACGTAAAAAGCACCTTCAGAACGAGCTGGGAGAAGGCGTCAAAGTCGCAGAGCCACTCGTAGCACTTCTCCTGCTCGAATCGCCGGTCCCAGTACTCGAGCTTCGCGTAGTCCTCGTTCTTCTCCATTTCGGGAGGTGTACTCTACAAAAAAAACCCGTATTTAACGCCCTCAAACGCTCTCCTGTGTTTAATGCCGGATTTAACGGGTTATTAAATCACCTTTGCAGGGCGTTATTTCTAGCGGGCACAAAAGGGCGTTAAAATATGGATTTACGCTGCAGCAATATAAATTTTGTGTTAAAATTGGAAAGTTTTTAGGGGCCAGTCGGCTTCAACATGCTGAAGCCGAAAATCGGTAGCCGTTTTTGAGTAGTTTGTAGTCGCCGGGGGGTTGGGAAATCGCGTGGGGTACGGTGGAAGGGGCACCTCCTAGGCAACCTTTTCGCCGAGAAACCCACCGTAGTTTCGCGGTTTTGGCGCAAAATATCGTGTTTTTTTCCGGGAACTTGTTGTTTTTAGCTTTTCAGATCGATAAACTGGATGCCAGTTTACCTGCTCTATATATTTTTCGGCGCTTGCCCCGGGATTTTTGAGGATTGAGCTTGTGGAAGAAGCTCACCGGGCCCGGGCAGGCTAGCAGCGACCATTTGGGAAGTCGGGTTTAAACTTGAGCACATCTGGGCACCCTGCTGTTTTCAAGGGGGCGGAGAAATCTGAGTAAAACGCGCAGCCGCCCGCCTGATTTCACGGTCCATTGGCGGTGGCGGTAGTAGTAGATGGGCGAAATGGGGTGCGTAGCGTGGCGGACAGACGGAAAAACCGACGGAGAGACACACGAATGGGCAGACTGACAGACAGTAGAACTAACGAGCACCACAAAATGACGGTAGCAGGTGTCGCATGCCATTTCAGCGACGGTCACATTCCAAGACTCTGGCTTTTTCAGGGATGCCAGTTTTTCAACAATTCTCTAAAATTGCCGGTTGTTTAATTTGCGCTGTTTAAGATATCATTTTGCGGCCCTCAGCAGAGTAATTTTTTGAAAAACAGATAAAAGTCTCAAAAATAATCCCAAAAACGTTAGAGTCGGAAAAGAAGCCGGGTAGGGTACGTCGGACATGTCTTCAATTTTTGTAACTTTTTTTGCTTTTCGGGTGTCAATTTGCGTTAACTGGGTGGCAGTTCGGCTTTTCCAAAAGTTACAACCTTCTAAAATCCCAATCAAACGAGCTAGGGGGCCGCGGGGTTCGACTCCCGGCCGCGGCACGCCTCTTTACGCGTTGATTTTTGCGTTTATTGCGTCGATTAGTGTCAACTGGAGGCCAGATGGCCATTTGCACGTGCTAAATTCCCAATTTGGGCCGAGGGGGATCCAATTCAATACGGTATTTGTCTCTTTTAAGGGGGCAGGGAAGGAGCGGCGGTGATTGCGCGTGGTCGATAATTGGGTGTGAGGCCGTGGGGGGGGGGGGACCGCCAAAGGGCCAACCTGGGGCCCAACATATGGCCCCGGTTTTTGATCCGTTAGATGTCCATTTTTGTACATAAAAATGGAAAAACATCCCATTAAAAATCGCTAAAACTCTATATAAAAAACTCGAAGCAAAAAAAATGTATTTTAAAAAGAAAATGTTTTAATT